GGATCAATAAAGTATCCATTATTATTATTATTATTATTATTTCAGGAGATTTGAGACCTGAGGCAGAATACTCATAAGTTCAAAATTTGAAATTCTCAATAGAACAAATGTTACAGACTCTGGGATGATGTAGAGATGTAGACATTTACCACACAGGAAGAGCATAACAAAAGCTGCATCACAAGAACTGTGGGTCCAGTGTTTTTATTGAAGCTTTAGAGGAAGTAAAAGTCTGGACATCATGGCCTCATCCATAAGTCATAGACTTGGTTGACTGATCCTTGGCTTGCTCTTTTCACATATCATACTGTGCTGGAGGAAAGACACCCAAGAGTATGTGTACAAATACATTGCTTGGATAAAACAACCCACCTGTAATGTAGATGTAATGTGAATATGTTGCTAATTTAAAAGAAAAGTGATTTAAGGGATCTAATTATGAAGTATGCATTCACTGAGAAGCACTTCATTAGGCAAACCTGTTCAATTGCTCATTAACACAAATCATCCAATACTGTGGGAGAAACTCAGAGCATTTAAACACGTAGACACGGTCAAGACGAGCTGCTGCAGTTCAAACTGAGCATCAGAATCGCGAAGAAAGGTGATTTAAGTGACTTTGAACCTGGCATGGTTGTTGGTGCCAGCAGGGCAAGCCTGAGTATTTCAGAAAGTCCTAATCTACTGGGATTTGCCCACATGGCCATCTCTAAGGTTTACAGAGAATGGATGATCTGAAAAAAAGAAAACATTCAGTGAGTGGGAGTTCTCAGGGGGGAAATGCCTTGTTGATGCCAGAGACCAGAGGAATACGGTCAGACTGTTTTGAGCTGACAGGAAGGCAACAGTAACACAAAAATCCTCCCACTAATTATGGCCAATGCATGCAGAAGAGCATCTCTGAAAGCACATCAAACCTTGAAGCAGATGGGCTACAACAGCAGAAAACCACACAGGATGCCACTCATCTCAGCTAAGAAGAGGAAACTGAAGCTATTTCACACTGCATCATCAAAATTTGATAGTCGCAAATTGGATAAACCTTCCCTGTTCAGTTGAGTCTTGAATTTCTGTTGTGACATTTAGATGGTTGGGTCAAAATGTGGGGTATATAACATAAAAACATGTTAATCAGATCCATCCTGCTTTGAATTAATGATTCAGGCTGCTGCTGCTGGTGGTTTAATGACGGTTTTTGCCTGTCCCGTTTGGCTCTTTTGCCATTAGATGGATTGTCTAAAGGTGAAGAAAGATGCCCAACGGATTTACTTTACCAAATAGACCATCCCAGCCTTGCCGTTATGGTCTATTTGATTCACCTTTTATTGTTTATTTTATTTTATTTTCACTTGCTAAATACGGGACAGACTTGACTGGGGAAAAGAAAGGGGAGAAAGAAAGAGGGAAAAAAAAACAGCAGAGAAGAGGGACGAAGGGCAAAAAACAAAAACCAACAAAATAAGCAGACAAAAAATACATATATCAATCACCTGGATCACCTGTTGAGAAAGAAAAAAAGAGAAAACAAGCAGAAGAAAAAGAGCAATAGAATAAACAACATCACGATGATCTATGGGAATATAACAGTAAATACTAAATATTAAACATTATTGTGCAGCACGTAAGATGGACAGCGCACAGTGTGCTTTGAGGTAGGAGCCAAAAAGGGTGTAGTTTGTGTGTGTGAGCACCCGTGTGTACACCTGTGAGCATGACGCGCTTGTATTTAGGTCCCATGATGATCCGGCCCAGGGCCCGGTTCAGTCGCGCCGCCGGCCCCACAGAGCCCGGGACAGCCCACCCGACCCCACCACAGAGAAAACTGCACCCACCCCGTCATCCACTCATCTTCCAGACTACACAAGACAATAGACGCCCAGGCTGAGATCTTCCTCCACCTCTCCTGTATCTCCCCCTCCTGCAGAGTGAGTTCCTGAAGAGAGGAGACCTCCTGCAAGATGTAACAGCCTCCCCCACCAGCTGAAGAGCCCCCCAGGTGGCTCGATGCACTGGCGGCACCCTGCGCCAGGGCTGGGCCCCATACACCCACCCGCCCACAACCCCGGCAACACACCAACCAGGACCGAAGCCCCCAAGGCCCAGCCAGGGCCCCAGCCCAGAGACCGAGCACCCCCAGAACCCCACGCCTGTCCTGGACCCACCCAGGGGCGGCCAGGCTACCAGGTCAGTAACCCACGTCTGTCAGCACAGACCCTCCCCTAGCCCCGCTGCACACAGCCACGAGGAAACCGTCACCTAAGAGCCAACAGAGCCCTTAATAGGCCATGACCGCAACCCCGGGTTGAGCCCTCCAAGGAAGATGCTCCTGGGGAATCCCCCGACGCCCTAAGCCTGTCCCTACCCCCACACCAATCACAACAGCGAAGGTGGGACCAAACTATGACCCCCCACCCCCACTAGGTGATGGAGCTGATCAAAGGAGCCCAGAGCAATTGATCTGATGTGGTGGCAGAGGCTGTATCAAGACTAATGTAATCTAATAGATAATTTCTATATTGGTTAGAATTAAGATTATTTTTATTTTTCCAGTTCATGAGGACTGTTTTCTTGGCTATGCATAGGGCAGTGAAAACCATATGGGCGATATTCTTTTCTGAAGTGACATTATCTAAGCTGCCCAACAAACACACTAAGGGGGAAGTTGGAATGTTACATTTCAGACACTTCGATAAGTCTTCACATATCTCGCGCCAAAACTTCTGAACTGGTGGACAGAACCAAAGAGCGTGGATATAATTGTCCGGTGAATTGGTTTGGCAGTGTGAGCAGTTGTTGGTAGACGTAAAGCCCATCTTGAACATCCGATGACCTGTATAGTGCACTCTATGTATATTTTGTATTGAATTAATTGAAGACTGGGATTTCTAATTAGATGAAAGGTTTTTAAGCAAATCTGAGACCAGAAGTTTTAGGTCTAAGTTAACTGATAAATCCGCTTCCCATTTTGCAATAGGAAGTGATATTGATTCATCTGTTTTAGAAAGCATTCTGTATATTTTGGATAGTAATTTGGGGGTTTTAAGAGTAAGAAATTGAACCACACTTGGTGGTGTTTGTAGTTCAACTTGACCCGGTTTAAATTTCTTTTTTACTATGGATTTAATTTGTTGATATTCTAAAAATCTTTTCTTGTTGATCCCATATTGTGTAACTAGTCTCGTCAAATGAAATAAATTCTGTTCCTTCTAGTATATGTTCTAAATATTTGATTCCTTTACCACTCCAATCTGAAAAGTTTATCATATTATTGTTTTGTAATATGTCAGGGTTGTTCCAGATAGGTGTACGTTTGCATGGGATTAATGAAGACGCCGTCAATTTTAGAAACTCCCACCATGCTGTCAGAGAAGAGCTGATGTTGATGCTTTTAAAGCATTCATGTCGTTGGATGTTTGAGCTGATAAATGGTAGGTCTGAGATCTCTAGATTATTGCAAAGTGCTTGTTCTACATCTAGCCAAGGTTCATCTAAGAGGGTGTGTTTTAGCCATCCTGAGATAAACTGAAGCCTGTTTGCTAAGAAGTAGTGCTGAAAGTTAGGCAGTTCTAATCCTCCTTTATCCTTGGTCTTTTGTAGTGTTTTTAAGCTTATACGTGGGGGTTTATTTTTCCAAAGGAATTTGGACATATATGAATCTAGAGATCTGAACCAATCTTGTGGCGGTTTAGTTGGGATCATTGAGAATAAATCATTTATTTTTGGTAAGACCATCATTTTTATAGCGGCAAGGATTTTTTCTTGACATACCTGGGCCTCAGGTAAACATCTTTTAAATGTTACAGCCTACCTGAGTATTATTGCTGACCATGCCCATCAATTTATGACCACAGTGTACTCATCTTCTGATTGCTGCTTCAAGCAGGATAATTTGCCATGCCACAAAGCTCAAACTGCTTTCTTGGACATGACAATGGGTTCACTGTACCCAAAGGGCCTTCACAGTCACCAGATTTTGATTCAATAGAGATTCTTAGGGAAGCAGAATAGCAGATTGGCATCATGGATGTGCTGCCAACAAATCTGCAGCAACTGTGTGATGATATCATAAAGATATGGACCAAAACCTCAGAGGAATGTTCCCAGCACCTTTTTGAATCCATGACATGGAAAAGCTGAGGGAAAGCAATATAATAAAGCCAGCAGTTGCTTTTTCACCTGAACCCCCTTTCTTTGTGTTGTTCATAGTGCAATCAGTGTTTTGGTACAAGCTTTCTGAGAAGGCCATCATCCATTAAAAGAAGAAAAATAAATCAGCTTGCTAATTTAAATTATTTTTGTTTACTGCAGAAAGACAGCATTATGAAGTGTTCTTGACCCGCCTGCTCCAGACGTCATTACAGACATTTCAATGACTCATAACGCGCATCATTGTGGCTAGAATACAAGAAAGAGCAGAAATGGCTAATTTAGATCAAAACTAGACAAAAATGTCTGTCGTGTGATGACAGTTTATCATAGAAATTGCCAAATATTTTTCTCGCTTAATAAAACAAAAAATCAAGTTACAATTTTTTTGGGTTTGTTTGTTTGTTTGTTGTTTTTGTACTGATAGCACGGCACAAGCCAATGTTCCATAGAGCACAGCTACCCTCCAGTACGCCCACACTGGAATTAGTCCAGTGCTGATATAATAAGCCTGACAACTGATGAGTTTTGCATTAAGAATTGGTTAGTGCATAGCCATATTTACATAAATACCAACATTGGTTTCAATTACATTATTTTATGTGATACATTCAAGTTATGCATGTAATGGCATTCTAATTTATATACTGATTTATTTATTTTCTTTTTTTCTTGGTTTTTGATTCTGGCAATTTCAGTCTTCTATACAAATCTGGTGCAGTTCACGTCAAGTTACTGAGTCCAATGTATTATTACTCCATAAAGAAGGACAGTTGGATTTCCTATATTCTTTGTGCCTTTTAGGTTTAAAGATAATTAAGTAAACTTTAATAGGGTAAAAAGTGACCCGTTACCTGATACAAGTTCCTCCATTACGACAAGGAAAGTGCTGGCAGACAGGAGGGTCACAGTTCTTGATATTTCTCCCTCTAACTGCCTCACCCATCAGGTAAATCTCCTTTGAGTTGACCTGAAGTTCTCTGATACAACCAATGAATCTCTTCTCTGCTTTTTCACTCTTGTCATGCATGTCCCACTGAGATGAAACATCCCCAAGAAATATGGGTCCAAAGGTCCCCTGTAAAATAAATAAATAAATAAATAAATAATTAACACACATAAGTGATCAGCAGTATATATTATGGTAAGCAGCTAGGGAAAGCATTATGTCAATTAGATGTCCCCACAAAGATATGAAAACACAGTGTGTGTGTGTGTGTGTGTGTGTGTGTGTGTGTGTGTGTGTGTGTGTGTGTGTGTGTGTGTGTGTGTGTGTGTGAAATTATTACTGCTATTACATTATTAGGACCTTAATGTATCCTGAGATGATGAAGAAGAAAGATAACAGACTCAGCTACTGTTACCCTCTGGTGTAATGCGGTATTAGTATCACCTAGACTGTAACTTTTATTCTTGTTAATAAGTCAGTTACACTATCTGTTACATTATTACACTAGACCCCATGTTTGTTTTTTGTTTGTTTGTTTGTTTGTTTTAAATGTTGTGCCTTTTTTAACTGTTATGTTAAAACTTATCCTCCAGCTGTGAAGTTAATGGGTAAGTAAAGGCAGTGGGTGCAAGGGAAGTGAGGATTCTGGGCATTTAATGTATTCCATGTTTAATGTGAGACTAACCATCAAAATTAATGCGTTCGTAAGTTTAGAGAAATATGAGCACAGAGTAATGTTTTCTTTTTCAGTTCTTTGGATGTCACATATCTAGAGATAATGATCATTAAAAAAAACAAAAAACACTGGTAGGTTCCTTTGATGTGCGGTAATTGGGTAACATTTGGCTAATATAGATAAATTGTGTGAACCTGTAACTTATTCTTTTGTAACAGTCAACTTAACAACTGCAGCTGTGTCTGCAAAAATGCTACAAACGAGTACATCACATAAGCATAAAAGTGCCTATATTTTATTCCGTCGTACTGTATAAATTTCCTTCCTTTACATTGTGTCATTTCTCTTCAACCTACAGAAGATTTCAAGTTCTGTCCTAAAAGATTCTAACTGTTCCTGTGGTTTACTCTGAGGTCCTATGGGTAATAAAACAAAACAAACTATAATAAAAGAGAAATGTGTTGATGTGAACATTTCTGAGTCAAATTACGGACACCGAATGTTAACTACGAGATTAAAAAAGCTCATTTGCCACTTGCCACTAGTGATAAAATGCAACCTTGTCATGTAATATACTGGATGTTAACAGTATGAAGAGCTCAAAGTACACTGAATATTACTGTTTCCAGTTTCGTCTCTGCCATTACAAAATCACATCAGTCATGTCAGAATTTATACATCCTTGGCACTCGTCATAACTGCTTGCTGGCATCGGAGGAAGTGTTGGACAGCTGAAGTGGAGGTGTTCAGTGAAGGGACACTTAAGTGTTAGACCACATTATCATTTAGGACGTTGGCTCAATACAAGCTTTAAATGACATAACCGCTGCAGATTTAAAAGCCTATAAAGAGACATGCATGACAGGGTTCCTGTGAATGTATGTGCAATGAAGCCACACTTGTAAGGACCTTGAAAGTATCTTTAAAAAAGCTTACGATTCATATAAAACAAGCAGCGCGTGATGGCTGCTTTTAAAACATGCTAAACTGTGCTTGTATGTGATTCACTGTAGCTGTGTGATGATGATGGGCTGATGATAATGTATGACTTTATGGTGCCTTCAAGCATGTTTACCATGTTTATGAGAAGAGTCCATTTGAAAAGCCCCACTAATGTAAAATTCATGACTTTGTAAGTGGACCCACAGCACCGCTTTCACATGAGCAGTGTGCTCATTTTCGAATTTTATTTGAAGGCAGGGCTAGGCAGTGTGGAATCTGTTTCATATTCTTCTTATGCACATGTAAGGCCAGTTTAGATGAGTAAAACTTGGCCACAATAAAAACAGACAAAAACCTTGGGGCGAGGTTAACTATGCCTTTGGGCTAGTGCGAACCATCTTTGGGCAAGGAAAAAAACATACTGTGTGGATTTACTCAAGATGCATAGTGAAAAGTTTAAAAGGCAAGGCCGTGTTTTATTTGTGGATAGCCTTATTGAATATATATTTGAAGGTGTTTCCCTTTCGGACCACAGCATTTGGCAAGGAGATTATTTAAAATGCTTTAGTAATTGCACCATTATCTAATAAAGAAACAATATTTCTGTCTTTTAACACTTTGCATGGTTTCACTAGTTGCTGCTATAACAAGAAAAGAGAGGGTGTGTCAAAAGGGCTACATGTGTTTCTTTTTGATTGGCAGTAGGGGGACATTATCACAGCTTATAGATTGCTACAGATACATTGTTATATATTAAAAGAAAAACACGCTGGAAAAAATCAAGGAAGACCTAAAACCTCCAAACAGAATTCACAGCGAGCCCACTGCTTCCAAACCTTCATTTCATTTTCTCCCTCTCGTTCTTCTAAAGGGGTCAAACAAGATCTGACTCTTACTTTTACAAATGTCACAGGGCCTCATGGCATGCCTCACACCAACAAATATTTCATGACACACATGAAATCTTCAGATTGAATTTTCAAGTTATTTCTTCTTTTTTTCCCTCCACAATTCAGGACCATGGAGAGCGCACGCGCACGCATGCACACACACACACACACACACACACACACACACACACACACACACACACACACACACACACACACACACACACACACACCAACCAATCCTACTACTTATGGTACTACAAATGACCCTTTGTAGTATTTATCAGAAGTTGTACACAAACACCTTAAAACATATGCGTATATTATGCCTATCAGATTAAAAGTAACTGTATTTGTGCTGACGGCAGGTTACTCATGCATGTCTGTGACCCTATGCTAATTTGTACTGCCCTTGGTAAATTCTTTTTGATCATTACTGGAATCAACTAAGTGCTTTTGTTTTCAGAAATTTGGCAATTGTTCGTTTGACTCGCTGGCTTAAATTGCTACTCCAATCTGCACTTTTTCTGATTGCGGCTTAAAGCCAATTTGCTCTGCTTAGTAAATACTGGATAGAGTGTGAATAAGTAGAGGTAATATTTCAAAGCCAGAAAATAGATATGTTCATTTAACGCTTCAAAAAAGTTTGACTGTTTCCTTTGTCTGATGAAAAAAATACTGGCCTTCAGGTTAGAGCCTAACCATGATTACGTATGTGAAGGGTATGTGAAATGATCATTGCCCCTAGGTCTACGTGGTGCTGTTTAGTTTAACATGAATCAAAAATGTCAAGAAAATGTAAATATAAATACATGTAACAAAACGTCAAAAACAAGAAGACAGACAAAACCAACAGCTATAAAAAATATAACCAGAATAAAGCTTTATATATACACGGAATACAAAACTATAACCAGTGTGGAAAGTAAACATGAAAAGTGCAACAAGCCAGACTGAGGAAACTTACTTGTAACTTACTTTTCCTACACTAACTGATGTTGCTTATTAAGTACTGCAATAACAACTACATTTCACCACATTATTTTAAGATTGCCATATTATTAGTATTTATATATCTACATGTATACCTTCATTCCCTTTATCTATGAGTAATTATACCCCTACGGCACCGGCTACTGGGCATTGAATGCAATCTGGTCTCATACACCAGTAGAGCAGCAAGCCTGCTGTGAACCCTGACACAGTAGCTCTATAGCTGGGTGTATCCTGTCTTTGTACTAATTAAAAAGAAACTGATCCAAAATGAAAACTACAGCCTGCCACTTTGCCACAGCCCTGAGTAACTAGATAACAGTGTTTAGTGAGAAATCAAGATACTTCTAATTTGACATATACTAACAGTGAAATAGATGGCAATATTGCTTCACCAACATCTGCTAAGCTGTCTGATTAGCCTCGGCAGTCTAGACTGGAAAGTGACAGCAGCTATCAGTCTACAGCTGGCTTTAGTTTTGAGCCCACTCACTTCTTCTCTTGGCTGACAGTGTCAGATAAAGCCAACATAAATACAACACAAATAACTAAAGCACATATTTGTTTCCAAGACATTTTTAAGATCTTCATTTGACACAAAACACTACAAGTAGCTTTTTACTGGTATTGTTTATCCACAAATATACACAGCGTGTAAGTGTAAGTAGTATTTTTTTATTTTTAGAAACACACTCATTCACTTCATCTTTAAACCTGACAATACAAGAAAAAGTTTAACACTGTGATGTCTAATTGTAGCAAAGATAGTGCTCGTGTAATGAATGAGGAACAAAGAAACATGTTGGCATCTCAAATTAGAAGACCATAAATCACACTGAGGAGTGGGAGGCATGTTGGGCCAGTGGGAAGGTTGAGACTCTCTCTGCATATTTGAATGTGAAAGCAAAATTATTAATTAATAACAAATATAGGTGTTGTTAATCAAATTAATGAGCCAGAAAAAAAAAGACCAGCCTGTGATTAATAATAGAACAAGCTTGATGTGGCTTACATGTTTGCCAATTGTGATTATCTACAGATAATACTGTAAAAGATGCACTTTTTTCTAAATTGAAGCCTGTTTTGTATTCATAAAGCAATGGGCTTTGGCAGCACACAACAACATACAGTCAATCTACTGATGGCCCTGCTGTCATGAGTTCTATAAGTTGTTTATTTGAATGTGGCGAGTCTGTTGGCACTGTGGGGGTGCCAAATGTATAGGGCTGTGGGACAAAAATGCAGGGATGTCAGGGAAAAAAGATTGCCAGTAAACATCATCTGTCTATATGACATAAATGCCAGGGCATATTTCCTGTGTTGCTCTTTAACATTAATGCTGCATTTATACTGTTTTACTTCATAATTGTCACAATGACATTTAGCAGATTTCAGAAATTTTAGATAACAATGCAGCCTTTATATAAGCAAAGACATTGACAAACAACCCTGCTACAAAAACTAAAAGCCACTGATGGCTTTGTGGCATTCATTATTAGAGCAGCGTTTAAATGCTGGAATGGCTCTCGATGGAAATACATGCGTATTTCTTTAATTATTATTATTTACTGAAGAATATCGGGATCCATGATATTACTGCTGTACCAACATTTCAATGTTTTTAAGGCAAACTGTGCTGTAAAAGGAATAAGATAACTGAGAGATAATTGTGTGTTTGAAATGAGATGATGCTTGTACAAAGGGTAGATTTGAGTGCAGAGAAGTCAGGATACCTGTGACACAGGGTGCGAGACGTACTCCTCGAGATGCTGAGCCGTGCCATTATCTGCAGCTATTTCAATCATACACGGGCCTCCTTGTTTGCCAACAGGCAGATTGTATCTGTTAAAAGAGAAGACACAGAAACCAGGGGTAAGTTAGGAAGCCCTCTCCCTGCCATGTCTGATACTCACAATAACGCCAACAAAGTGTGGAAAAGGCTCTGATGGAGAAACAAACAGAGCAGACAGCAGTGAAGCTCCTAATGTGACCATGGAGAATATTCCATAAACTTACTAGATATACATTACACATCGTTTTATAAGACACTTTATGCACTGGCACACTGGGTCTGAAGTAATGGTCCGTTTGTATCACAAGCTCTTACCCTAAACCCAGGAGAGACAAGAAAAAACAGGCAATGTTTTCCCCAGTTTTGGATTTAAATAAGAAGGCCAGAAACAGGTTTTGGCTCAGTGCTGCAGTGCTTTTTATTTTCTGTAAGTAGCTGTGTTTCTCAGCCAAATATGAAATGGACACAGTAATGCAACAGTACCTATGGAGTGCCTAAAGAAAAACCACAGAGTGAGATCACCAATCATAACCAGGTACATGATCTGTGACATAAATACCAGTTTTAATAACATTTTCTATGATTTTCTACCACTGCTACTACTGATAACAATGATAACAATAGGCCAAAAACATGATTATGGGTATGAGTGCTCATTATGTCATTCAGGATTAATTAATGATAAAAACGAGGGCACAAACTAGATATACATTACAAACCTAATGAGAAGGAAGATAATTTTATCATTTGACCCTCAGCGTCTCTCTGGGGAAATATACAATTGTAGTAGTCATTAATGTTGCAGCCGTAATGTTAAGTAGATGGTCTACTTGTGTCATATTCCAGCTCTGGCAAAGTCAAGTGATCCCCTCTCCCCAATTCATCACCGGCCTTATGCTGGCAGTACACAATAGAAGCCACTTTAAAAGGCTCAACATTATGCAAAAGGTTGCACGCTCTCCGCCACACACGTAAACACGGCAATGCGTGATGCCCTTTGTGTTCTGTGGGTTTCTTTGCCACCAGCCTGTAAACACGCCACACAACTACGATTGTGTGTATTTCGTAACTTATTCAGCCATTCTTTTTGACTGTACCGATGATGACTGATGAGGAACAACCCTCAAACGTCTGCTTTAATAGCCAGATGGAAACAATCAGAGCAATCGCCCTCCTGCTAATTTGAAACAGCCTTCCAGGACACCTCCCTGCGGCAATCATACTCAACTTCAGGTAGGACTAATTACAGGTGTGGAAATCATAAGAGCCATTTTGTACACACTCACTGATAAATTAAGGCACATTTACATTGGCAAATGTGAAAGGCAACCTAATGTCCACAAAAGACATCCATTAACATCCTGGTGGTGCTCAGTGTGTTCCAGTGAGCTCACTCTCTTACATTGGGATATTGCCCCGCTGTTCCTTGGATCCTAATGAAAGGGATAGAGTTGTGCGATATATCAATCCTTATCTTTGTGCAACAAAAATGGACCATTTTGCGAGGTATGAAACATCACAACATCATTACAACCTCTATTGCTGAGGGCGCTTGATGAATATTTCGGTGCTTACCACAGTAGCTTTTATTCGGGCTACTGATGCTACAAAAACTGTCCCTGGGAGATATGGAAAGCATGCGCACAAAGCAAGCGAACTTGATGAGTTCTTATGAGCACATTTAATATTCCAGCAAGCTAATTTACAATAGTCTTGCTTTAAGGAAAACGTGACTATTTATATATTTTTAAAAATGAGTACAACTACTTTATGTGGTGTAGATAGCTAGAAATATGGCCTACAGCTCCACATTATAATCGCCACACACATACACACAAGCCCAAAACCAAACAAACAAACATATGAATGAATAAGAAGGAAAAGAAACAGTGGTTTTCTCTAATGTAGGGAAGAAACTGTGATTTCTTATTGGGCCCCTTGTGCACCATTCATTTCTGGGTCTCACAGGACCCACGCAGCAAAGTTCCAGTTTGAGGTAAACAAACAGAGACGGATAAATATTTCTCCAAAGACAGACCACACCACAATATGGCTGTGATCATTTTCCTAACTCAATCATCATTTATGCATTTGTTCATCTGGCTAATGTTCTAATCATGAGTGATTTGTCATCTCTAACATCCTCATTTAGACTGCGTCTGGTGTGTGACTAATTAAGGGCAACTGCATTACAGCAACTTTCCGGAGGATCGCCACTGAAATATTACCTGGAATGTTAAGGGACCTTGCAAATATTTTCAGGACTGCACCTTTACACAGAGGTATTTGTTAAACCTGAAGGTGGGTGTTTGTCTCTACAATCCAATAAGAACATTCCCTCTTCACAGTCCCCTGCAGACAACTAATAATAAAGGAGGATAATCATTAAAATATTACTTTTGCATGAAACATCTGAAAGTATTGGCAACAGATGGCAGTAAAACATCATGCACTGCACGGTGCCCTTGCAACAGTTTTTGGTGTCTGGGGGAAAAAAAGGCACAAAAAAGCCTTGTTATTCTAGCCATATTTCTGATTCTTACAAAGAGCAAATCATAATGTGTAACATGTAAGTTGTGAAGTTATCATTTGTGAGTCATTTGATTGATTTAAGTGTCTGTTAGTTCTGCAAATGGAGACTATGCTCAGTAGGGTTTATTATCAGTGAGCTGTAGCTGGCACACACACACAAAGAAGACAAGTACCAACTGTTACTTTGATATTCTTATTAGCACAACAGGTCGCGGCGCTGCATCTGATTTAACTGAAAATAACCTTACATATGGTTACAAATCATGAAATGTCATATCACACCACTGCACCTATTGCACAAGATATACAAAGGGGTCTGTTTGTTGTTTTTGTTGTTGTTTTTTCCATAAGTGCAACATGCTGTTTATCAGATCATAAACTACACCTACATTGACTGTAATGGCTGGCTCTGGTGCAGTTACTTTCACACAAGCAGCACTGCAGCATTTGCTGCATAATTTGTGCTGTGACTGGCAAGCCTCAATTAATTTGGGTAGCCTGTGTTCTATCATTATATCTCCAGCAATACAATTAGACAGCACACAGCAACACTCGTGGTATTGTGAAGCTTCACAAAAGAAACTCCAAGTGAGCAGGCAGGGCTGCTGCTGAATCTTTCATGGGAGGACTTGTCAATACAACTCTGAATAGTATGTAATTGATACATATACCTTGCTGTGAAAAAAAAAAGGACGTGGTTTCAAAAACAAAAACGGCCCTTATTAAATCAGATACTTTTGAAACAAGCGCACATATGGCGTGCCATTTCCCCAAATACATTTTTCTCTATTACTCTCCAAAGGATTAATACCCAGCAGGGAAGTGTTCACTTGTAATGTAGCAGTTTGGTAATTACTTTCACAAACTGCAAAGGGGTTATGTACCCATTAATAGGATAGACGCAAATCATAAGATTGATCTAACCACATCGTATAACAAAATGCACCATTGATTGACTCGCACTAAAATGCCCTCTTAGTTCTATATCAGCAAACATTATGCTGAGTGAAGTAAATCAGCGTTTCGGAGCTGCAAGAGGACTCGAACTCAGAAAGCGGAGTTTCCAATGTTTCTGTGACAATAATTCAAAGAAGTCAGATTCCCCGACTCCCTGAGATGCCCTGAAATAAGTTACTTTTTTGAAATTCTTTCCAGTGTTTCTTCTCACAGCATAAGTCTGTTTTCTTCCTGGTACCAGCGGCTGTTGCTAGGAGACATTTCACACCCACATGTTCATTTTTTTCTACAAAACTATTCGATGATCACTGAACAGGCCCTTAAATATAAGTTTAACGATTAAATGATTAAATAATCGTTAAAGTTCAATATGCGATGCAAATGATAGCATGCTCGCTGAATTAAAAACTGAACGAGAAACTAAAGTCACCATTTTTTAAATTCTTTTATTATTGTGAAAAGCAACAGTTAGAGAATCATAATAATTTAATCAGCAACTAATAATTAATGCTCTTCCTGTTATTTGCTGTCCTGTGTTTTGTGGTCAGAGCAAGCACATACTATTTCAGGACACACAGGAAGGGCATAGCAAGAGCTGCATTAGAAGAATCGTGAACCAGTGTTTTGTTTTCGTTTATCGGAGCTGTAGAGGAAGTAAAAGTCTGGACATCATGGCCTCATCCATTAGTCATAGACTTGGTTGACTGATCCTTGGCTCATTCTGTTCTGTGCTGGAGGAAAGGCACTCAAGAGTATGTGTACAAAAACATTGCTTGGACAAAACAACCCACCTATAATGTGGCTGTAATGTGAATACGGTGCTAATTTTAAAGAAAAGTGATTTAAGGGATCTAATTATGAAATACACATTCACTGAGAAGCACTTCATTAGGCAAACCTGTTCAATTGCTCATTATCACAAATCATCCAATTCCGTGGGAGAAACTCCGAGCATTTAAACACGTAGACACGGTCAAGACGAGCTGCTGCAGTTCAAACCGAGCATCAGAATCGTGAAGAACGGTGGTTTAAGTGACTTTGAATGTGGTACGGTTGTTGGTGCCAGACGAGCTGGTTTGAGTATTTCAGGAACTGCTGATCTACTGGGATTTTTTTCCACACGGCCATTTCTAGGATTTACAGAGAATGTTCTGATAGAGAGAAAATATCCAGTGAGTGGGAGTTCTCAGGGTGAAAATGCCTTGTTGTTGCTAGAAGTGAGACTGCACTGAGCTGACAGGATGGTAACAGTAACCAGAATAGCCACTCGTTACAACCAGGATATGCAGAAGAGCATCTGTGCAGGCAGATCAATTTGAACCTGAAGTAGCAGCAGAAGACCACACCAGGTGCCCGTCCTGTCAACTAAGAACAGAAACTGAGGCTACAGCTCACACAGACTTACCAAACCTAAAAAGGAGAAAATTGGAAAAATGTTGCCTGGTCTGATGAGCCTCAATTTCTGCTGCAGCATTCAGATGACTGGTCTGAATTTGGTATGAAAACCATGAAAACCTGGATCCATCCTGCCTTGTTTTTGCGGCTCAGGCTGCTGATTGAGGTGTAATGTGTGGGCGGTACTTTGTGGGGCACACTTTAGGTGCCTTAGTACCATCGTTTAAATGCTATAGCCTACTTGAGTATTATTACCAACCATGCCAATCCCTTTATGGCCACAGAGTGCACGCCTTCTGATTGCTGCTTTCAGCAGGACACGGTGCCATGTCAAAAAGCCCAAATCATCTGAAACTGGTTTCTTGAACAAGAACAACCCTTTGCTCAAATGGCCTCCACAATCACAAGATCTCAATCCAACAGAGCACCTTCGTGATGTGGTGGAGCAAAAGATTTGCATCTGCAGCATCTGTGTGATGCTCTCATGCCAAGACCAAAAGTCTTGAGGATTGTTTCCAGCCTCTTGCTGAATCTATGCCATGAAGAATTAGGACAGTTTCAAAGGGAAAAGGAGAGTCCAACCCAGTATTGTCAAGGTGTACCTAATAAAGTGTAAATACAGATGTACATTTCTTTTGAAATCAAAGCAATTCAAGACAGAATTAAAACAACCTGCAATACTACCCTATGGCATCACCAAAGAAGACTAAAGGCAAGTTTTTTTGAGAATCTTTGCTTTCAGTGATCAAGCAGAACGCTGACATTTTCATCCTTTCAAACAAAGGTTGTAAGAAAAGACGTGATGACGAGGTATTCATGCACTGCTTCTACACAAACTGAAAATTTGGTGCATTTTCAACAGTAAAAAACATCAACATGAACATCAAAACCCAGAAGGTGCTAGACACAGGATCCTCAGTCAGACAAAAAAGAATATTTTTCAGTAAGCCTGAATCATACTTGAGACACTACTCCCATTCCTTTGACTGAAGAGAAAAAAGCACCAACAAAAGCAGCATAAATTTAAATAATCATGTCTGCCAGGGACTCAGAGTTCACCTCTGACAAGGTAAGAAATGTGATGCTGCAGAATGCTGTGTGTCATCCTTGTTGATCTTTGACTGAGTGTAAATGGAAATTACTCCAACAGTGAATGGCAAGTAGTACGGGATTCAGCTAAAAGCATACACACCTCACAAATGACCAGGGGAGCGTTTGGAGTCTGCCACTCTCAAATTTAATCGCAGCAGTATTGCCTTAAACATCCCCAAAGGAAAACTTCCCAACATCAAAAACCAAGCCAGCAACAAACATGTCCTCCCCAAATGAAAAATGACACAGCATCCCCCCTGCACACTCCCCTTTGTGAATTTATCTGGCAGCAAGGGGCATTTCAGCAGTGGCTTTTTGTCTTGCCAGCATTTGTCTGCTCTGGAGTGCTACAGCCCATTTGTGCTTTAAGTGAAATAATACAATTAAACATTTCTGGAGAGGGAAAATATAATACAAAGTTGCTGCCTTGTGGAAATGTTTTGCATGCTTCACAGCTGTTATCAATCTGCCTTTGCGTTACACACGGTTTTGTGAAAACACAATGCACCGTAACACCATTACATTTAGAAAATCTGCATAGCTATTGATAGCGTGTCTGAATAAATATAATATAAGTTATTATAATCCATTTTCCCGAAACCAAACTCAGTGTTTCTACACAGCCAAAGTGTTCATAATTCAATGGAAGCTCACTGGAGAGAAAGGTATGGACTTTATATTTCATGTATGTGGCAGCCAATTTAAACAGTCCTGAATGTTTCAGTGAAATGAATCACATTTTCCTTTTGAAGACCAACAAAAGGAAAATGTGATTCATTCAATTATGTTTACTGTCAGGACTGGCTTCTAAATTCTTGATTAAATATTCATAATGTCTTTTATCCCTTTGTTGAGGATGATTAGCAAGACGAAGTGGTGCACGACTGCTAAACAGTGTTCCTTCATAGCTAAGAGGATTTCAAATAGGGCGAGGTAAAGAAACATTAACACTCTTTATCATGGTTTTAAGTTGGATTTTTGCTTAATTATATGTGATCATAATGTAGGGAAAACAATTTAAGTAAAAAACAAACAAGCATTTTTGCATCTGCGACGTCGTACCCTGTGCAGCAATTATGTCACCAGAAATAAAGCTTATGAAAAATGAGTGTCAATGTTTTCATACTATAGTACTGAAGCTTGGTCGGGTAATGTTGAATAGGCTTTGTAGCAACGCTGCTGTGTGGTGCAACAGACAGACATTTATGGGTATAACATGAGAAAGTCAAAGGGGTGTAACTGTATTTGTATAAAAACAGGTAAATGTTTTCCCTTTCTGATGTTAGGTGCAGTGGCACCACACAACCCGAGATGACAGCAAGATAGAAAAAAAAGAGCATTTGAGAGTCATGCAAGAGGGAAAGATTGGGAAAAAAAATATGGAGATGAGACTGTGTTACAGTGCCTTCAGGCAATTTCAATTTTTTCACCGGTCATTGGAGTCTGGATTACAGTATTTACAGTTAAATACAACCACAGCACTGCACTGCATACATGCTGACAACAGCAAGGCATCTGTATTCAGTGTTGCCAACTATCACCCAAGGAAAGTAGGTACTCTGTGCTCAAACATGACTTGATGATGTCATGGGCTCATTTGCATATGAATAAAATTGCTGAACCGATCAAGAGCAAATAGAAGCAGAGCTCAGCAGCAGGCACTCTCTCATTTCTCCTGCTGGCTTACTCTGCCCCACAGTGATGAAGCCTCTAAGCCTTTGTGTGCAGTACAGAGACACAAGATCAGCAGTGCAGGGGGAAGGATGGCTGATCAGAACTATTTGAAAGGAACAAGCAATAAGTCAAAATATATATGAATCAGGTCTGCTAACGAGTCTACTGCCAAATGTTTGAAAGTGAGATGTTTTCCCATGATAAATCTAAAGAGTAGCTATATTTGTTGCTTATGCCTTTTCATAAGCAGTATTACTAAAGGACATAAAAAAGGAGCTAAATTTAGTTACTAGTAAGATGGATATTTTGCTATTGTTTTTATGCAATTTGTGTATGCTAGGGGAGTTTTAAAACTGTTGATAGGTAAAAAATAATGCCGATAAGATGTAAACAATTTACATATTACTATTCATTATTTTAGTTCACAAATGTACAGTTACAGTATGGAAAACACATTTTAGCCAACAAACAGAGATCAAAAACATTCATTTAAAGAAGATTTAGATTGTTTCTACTATTGACTGTTCCAGATCCCGATTTGCTCCTGAGCTTTTCCCAGTCTGTGGAAGGCCATCAACCTACTGTTTACCTCAGCTGGCAATGCTGACTGAGAAGTGTCCACCTTCTTTTACGCTAGAAAAGTCTGTAACATTTTGTGAAAGGAGTCCGTTATGGGTGGATGTAACTTTGTTGGAGTCTGTTGCTTGAAAGACTGTAACGGGAAAGTGCGATTTTAAGGACAACTGAGCCTAACATTAGCGGGCATAATGTTAGCTTACAAGTAGTTGTTGTTTACTCAGCTCTTGTCAGCTGTACAGACAATGAATGTTGATAACAAATTATTGCGACAATATCGGGAATACACAAGCATGATGACCACATTTTGATCCTCCCACAACAGTATTTTTAATAGATTTATAATAGCTTTTATGAGAATGCATCGGTTTGTTGGAACCTATGAGTACAGTTTTCTTTTTTCTATTAAATAACTTCAAAAAATGACTGACTGTACCTTCAATCGTTTTAGGCCTGCTTGACACATGTTACAAAAAACGTTCTTCCCTGGCAGTTGAATTCTAGGTGAATGACAGCAAAGTAGAAGCACCATATCGTTACCTGATGGTGACTGACGTCCATCTGTTGTTATTGATGTTCTGATTTACAGCTGCATGCAAAATATGACTGCCACCACAACCGAGTTTAGCAACAGGGCTTCCATCTTGAAGGAAAACATGAAGGAACTGATCCCCAAAGTTCTGCTCCTGAGCTGCAAAGGTAAGAAAATCACAATTAGTAAATAGCCTCTTTTTGCATATTACTGTATTGTATCAGTACAATATTCGTTACATGACTTCAAACTTATCAAAGATACTGAGTGCATAAAATGAGGCCCCTTTGTGTGTGACTTTAAAATCTGAAAATAGAAGATGATCTGATTTGAACATGTTCAGTTGAGTAACTACGGTAGCTGGACAGGGCTTCTTCCATATGCTTTCCTCACATTGTATGCTAATTTTTCAAAATGATCTTTAATCTCTGCTGTGTGATGCATTTTAATGTGTTAAAAATAAAGATGCATTACAAATACAAATACAAAAACAGAGGTAATATACAGGACCACTACCTGACACCTGAGGGAAGATTGCTATCTGCCAACAAATGCCATTACACAGTCAAAATACATGCCTCCTTGAAGCTTACAAAGACCTAGTTCACATTGCTGTGAGTTCTACAATAAATGCACAAACTGGGCAATCATTCCCTCAACAAAAGAGCTAAGAATAAACTGACTTAGACCTGATAAAATCTAAAGTGTAATGCTTAAAAGGCATTGCAAGCACTCGCACTGTTTTTTTTTGTTGAAGGATTAAATTAGGATGGACCAAATGGCATACAAATCATTCAGTCTTAGCCAAGTTAAAAGTAACAAGAAAATATGAAAGAAATAGATAGAAATCTACTCAAAGGTCATGGAGAGCTCAATTGAAAAAGTATAGCGAATAATAATCAATTCTCGCTGAGAGATCGAAACTTTCCACTGGATACTCCCACCTACAAGGGGGAAATTGTTGAAAAGAGAAGAGAAGAGAGAGGCGACTGATTCGAGATAAATCTTCTCTGCCCACTGCTGCAGACACCGTGTTAGTAAAGACCTACAAGGAAGTAAGTACAGGGCTCCTTGTCCCTTATACCACTGGTGGAAACTGAAACTTTGGTCCTCACTGTCTGACAGACCTCCTTAAATCAAACTGCTCCTTTCACAGTCTGAGCTATATGAAGCTATCTGAGACTTGGCATCGAACATAAAGCGCTGTTCACTTATGAGTAATGATTCATATTATAACATACCAAGACTGCATCAATATGAGCTGAATCATCCCTGTGTGTGTGCCACACAGGAACCACACTATTCAGAGCTACTAGGATAACAGTAAAATGTTTTTTTATTACCATTATGCCATGGTATGGTTAGCAGAAAGCAGTGAGTTTTCTGCTTCAAAAGATAAAGATCCACTCATGTGCACATAAACACACAAGTTTTCAGTAGGTTTATTGCAGGGAAGGGAGGTAAGAGGTAGCAAGCAAGAGGGTATCCTCAGGATATAAGTATCTTCCCCATGGATCACTCTAGTAGGTCTCATTCTGCCTGCCTACCAGGAGAATGATTACCAGGTACTTTTATCACTGCTTGGGCTCTCAAGATCCAAAACATTTTTTTTTTAAATTTAAGCAGAACAATCTTGCGACTGGAAGACTGATGGTAAATCTACATTTTGCTCCTGCTGGAAAAGCCTCTGGGAAATGGCAGCTGGTGCGACTTTTCCCCAACCTTTGTGGTCTTGATTGCAAAACAGGAATATGACCTCTACAGTATGTCACTTAACTCCAGCACATTATATCTCAATGGGAGATTTTGAGTGTCTTGCAAGTGAGACAGTGCATTGTGGGAGCGACAGCCAGCAGCAGCATGAAATTCTCCCCCACACACACTATCGAGGTCTTCAACTGTCTAAGAACACAGGAGCAAAAGGGGAGCAACATAAAATGCAGCAGGGAGACAGAGACCAAACTTGCCCACTGTCAGGGAAGACATTCCTGCAAGTCAGAGGACTGAACAGCAATAGTGCCCAGTTAGAGGGACCTAAAATATTTCTTTGTTTCCAACAGGGCTTATAGGGCACATTTCAGCTGAATCACAGAGGGCGACAGGGGACCACACACCCAGAGGGAACTACTGAGTAGACTCAACACAATCAGGGTTGGCCTATTTCACTTCACAATGACAATGGTAACTGCGTCAAAACTCTTTGCTAGGCTAGGACCAGGACAGAGGTGTGTGGGCAGAGACATTCCTGTGGCATCTCTCTTGAAGTAATGAAATGAGTGGAGGATTTGGACACCGGAGAAAAATTGAACAAAAGCAGAGCTTGTTGATTTAAGGGTATATGGGAACTCATGTGAAAGCTCAATTCCTCCAGGGCAAGAAGGGCATCAAGAAAATCCCCATCTCTTTGTCCACAGGAGGCAATGCTTAGCTTAATATGCTACACTCAGATAAATGTATTCTTTAAGCCGACCATTCTTTGTCTTAGGAAAGAACAGGGATGCATTTAACAGTGCAGTGCCATACTACAAGCCACTGTTGCAGAATGACACACAGGAATAAATATCTCACTCCTATAATTTTCTGATCTTTGTTCTGCAGAAGGGTAGGACTCTTAGCCCAAGAAAAAATAGCAGTAGGGACACTGTAGGTAGCAAGGCATCATTCATAGTAGAATAAGAGGCTTTTAAATGGCTTCATTTGTCTGGAGCATTTAATTAGTTTGCATCCTGCTCGAAGAGATAAAATTACCCTCATTCACTTGTTCAGTAATCTTCCTTTCTTGGTCGTCTGCTCTTCTGTATGATCATGCTGCCAGCACATGATTTCATCCAGAGACACAGTATTCATTGTTACAGCTTTCCTAAAATGTCCTGTGGTCGTGGCATGGATCCTCCGTGGATCCGGCTCATGCTGTGGATGCTTTATAGCATCAGAATCTGGGAAGTTTGGAGACTGGGTCAGTGACTCAGACTCTGTGCTGTGTTCTGTGAGCCATTCATTCAGTTTTCACTGCGTGGTGGGTCACACTGTTCTGCCGCAGTCAGAGACTGTTGATGCCATTAGGGCATTGAGCTTGTGCAGAAATAATGCTTTTGGTGGGCAGAATGTGACAAATTAACATCCAGTCAAAAGTCATAATCCACAGTTCGGCAGTAGAACACCGCAATGTAACATGTAATCAGATTTTTCAGTTCACCTCTCAGTGATTTAATAAGTCTCAGCGGTATTTAAGATGTAAAAAATTGTGTCCAACTTGCCTTTTGTTGTCATTCAAATCATAAAAGTCAACCTTCTTTTGATACCGTTCTCAATAAAGGTGTTAACTCTGGATCGTGCCTGCAACAGTACCAAACTGCTTTGTTATAAAATACATCTTATGCAAGAGACTTCATGTCAAGGGCAGAAAAAACACATATTCTGGTGTTCATCTCTATTTGGCGATTTCCATATATCTATCTAAAAAGGCTCAGCTGATTCCAGTATATATAATATGCTCTTTTTCACAAATTATTACAAGGCTGGCAAGCGTCTGAGAAGCTGATAAATCTGTGTCCAGTCTGAATCCTTCCAAGAGCCTTTGTTTAGTCAAAAATGTATTGTTTGCTTAAATGCAAGCACCTGTTTAATTTTAGAGCAACACAGACTCTTTATACGTGAAGACAAAATGCAACTGATGAGTTGTTAAATGCAGTTATGTTTTGAATATAATCTTTAGTCAGCAGCATGAAATGAGGGCATTTCTATTAATCTGAGATACACAGTACTTGACTTTCCTCTAGCAAACAATTGCTTTTGACGCTTTTTGCTTGTGGTAAAGTCACAAGGCATTATTAAAAAAAAGCTTGCGCTGAGAGGAAAAGCTTGAAAGTGGAAAGGAAATATGACTCAAACATTATGGTATGGTGCAAAAATATTCGGACACCCGGAGCCTGTTAATAGCAGTGCATATATTTGCTGTGAAAAACTTACATGAGGTGAGAAACAAGGGATACTGCAGTTTTTTTTTTAAATCACCTTCAGAAGGGTTTAAAAAACAATTATAATTTTAAAGCAAGCAGTGGGTGGTGCTGGTTGGAACAGGGCAGCAGCCAGTGAGTCACTTTAAATACTGAAGCAGACTGAAATGTTTAAGTCTGAATTTAACCTGCTGCTGTCATAAACATGCTGCATTCTGCCAAAGAAATGTAAAACTAACTAACCAGTAAAATATTCTTTAACAAAGCAAAAAACAAACAAACAAAGGGCAAAAATTACATTAAAAGGGCAACATGGAATGACCATTTATTTTATTTATATAACACCGAATCACAACAACAGTTACCTCAATGAGCTTTATATTGTGAGTTTAAGACCCTACAATAATACAGATAAAACCACAAGAATCAGATGACTGTGAGCAAGCACTTTGGTGACTGTGGGAAGGAAAAACTCCCTTTTAATAAAAGGAAACCAGGCTCAGGGAGGGGGAGTCATCTGTCATCTACCAGTTGGGAGTGAGTGGAAGAAGACAGTACAAAAAACATGCTGTGTTACCCACTAAGATATTGTGTATTAAAATACTGAATAATATCCTTTTTTTTTATTTTTTCAAAAACACAGTGGGCTGTCAAATGTTTATGAATGGACTAACAAAGGAAGCCTTACACTTCTTACTTCCTACTGCAAAAATTAGCCTCTCTCATCTCCTCTCAAATCAATTTCCGCTTAGCTCTATAACTCATTCGCTGCCAGATATTATTTTCTCTAGATGTCAATGTTGCAGCATCTTTTATTTTGCTATTTTTCCTCTGTAAGGATATTGTTTCCTACAGTCCCCATGGCCCTGTTACTCTGTGCTGAACTTAACAGAGCGTTCGTCCTTCTGCCAGTCGCTGTCACCTGTTTTCTCTCTCTCTCGCTCTCCCCCTCCCCCTTGCTCACCCCACCTCCTCTATTTTTCCTTCTCCAGCTGACAATTGAAGTCCAGGGGGAGACTCGCGAGTTTGCTTCAGGGAGAGGTGTAAAGAAAAGGGGGAGCAGAGAATAAGGAGCAGGTCTGGCGCGGAGAGTCTTCGCATCTCAATGCACGTCTTTTGGTTTTCTTCTGATTAACTTTGTCTGTTTGATCTCTCGAGTTTTCTTTTCAGTTCCTATTCACTGATGTGAAAGAGATGGGTGCTATACGCCAGGAAGTATTTCTAGATAAAAGGCACCGTGCCCACTATTTATGCTTTCTGAACATCCATCTCTTTTCGTGACAAGGCTCGCAGTCTGCTTTCTGTGCCAGTGAGATACTGTAAATATTACTGAGAACAGTGAGCAGGCGGATTTAATTGAACCAACTAACCTAAAATTATGACTATGTTTTGTAATTTACAGCCGTGTTCACGTCTACAATTGAGTGTGGTGAAAGCTGGTTTGGAATAAAGATGACATCAGGTTGAAACAGCAGTCAGTTTTTCAAACTGATCTATAGTATAAATCTGCAAAGGCTTAGACTGGTATAACTTATGATCCACACAGCTAGACAACTGGTGGCAGTGAATATATGAGGCGACTTATGCCAGGGTGGAAGTGAGACAATACTGCTATCTTGACGTCAAGTCACATCTGACAACTACAAAGGGGGTGTTACTGTACAACCTTTGAAACCACATTCTTTCAAATCACGTCGTTGTCTTTATTCCTTAAGAATAAAGATAAATTGTGTTACAGAGTCCTGATTTAAGTAATTATAATATAAGTGTTTCCTGTTATTGTTCTGCATATAGTACGGGAAAAATACTAATTAGAGAACTCAGGCAACAACTTGCATTAAACTGTGTAGTTTGTAATGCATAGCTTTGTATATAAAATAGCTTATGACTTATGACAGATGCAAATGCATTCTCAGTCATATTATGAAAAGCTTTTCTCGGGCAGAAAAAAAAGCTCCCTGAAGCTATATTCTTTTTATCCATGTAATATTCGGTTTTTCAAACAGAAAAGAAAAAAAAATCAAAATTCAAACCATTACTTCAAGTATGGGGGAGCATACTAATGGCTTTGCTTTGCAATTATTCCGCTATTCTATTCTCAAACCTATCATTTGACATTTTTAAAAAAGTCCTTAATAATATACCCTAAAATCTCTGCAACACAAACCAAATGTAGATTGGGATTTTATAGATAAAGAAAGATTTTTAGCATATAATAAAAATGCACATATATTGGGAATATGTCATTTTAAAAAGACTTTTCATTCCTTAATTTACTGACTGGTTGATTTTTGAACACTGTAATTAAGCGCCCGTGTCAGACAGGATACTGTATAGCTGTCTTTAAATTGATGTTACCATTGTCTATGTCTATTTAAGGTTTAGCTGGCTGACCTTTCAAATACACCAACCCTATATAAAGCACTAATTTAGACTTCTATTACATTCTGAGTGCAGCCTAATTAACAGCTCTTTAAATACAAAGATTTAAGTCTTTGGTGCAACGCTAATTCACTCAGTAGCCATTGTGGGAGGCCAATGTCAGCCCAGTGAAGAAAAGTCAAGCTATTATTACCCCAAAGAATAGTAAAAGTAAAACCACCTTTCCCCCCCACAAAATAGCCTATAGTGTCAAAAGCACACAGAAAGAATAATTCTGTTAGTTCTTTCAGAATTAAACTGCATAACAAAAGTCAGCTGGTACAAGCATAACTTCCTAGTGATAATGTAAGACTGTTAAATGAATTAACATACACTTTTCTGCAGTTGCATCACATATTTTGGGTTCGAGGGGATATTTCACACCTGAATTTTAAACAACTCCTGGATTTACTCCTCGCCACTCTCATTACAGTTAGTCAAGCCAGAAATTCCACATTATGATCAAAGGAGAGGAAATACGGTTTAACCCTGAGGTGTACTGAGCTGTTTAATAGGTCCAGGACCTGTAGACGATGTCACCGATAAGAGGTTGATCTAGGTTACACCAGAAAGATGAATGTTATGATGTCTTCTGCTGGTGGGTATAGAATAAATTACCCATGATCGCCACACAATGTATGCTGGTTACAGTTCTGTTGCACTTGCACCTGACTTGCTGTGCTGTAACACGGGAACAACGAGAGGCTCCTAAACTCAAGGTGGATGCAGTTTTTAGAGCGAGGAGCCAGTCCACGGAGACCCAGAGTGGGATGCTTTTTTATTAGAGCAGCTCAAGGCGTTCATGCTCTGGATTCACCCCTAAGCTGGCTGATACTTAATATATGCATACATATTTTGAACAGATGTGTAATACACACAAAGCAGGGTAAATTAACTAAAGTTCTCATGGCTCAGCTTTCTCAGTCCTCAAAAAAAATAAATAAAAAATCACTGACTCTTCTCTTCCCAAAACAATACTCCATTGTTATGAGGGTCTACTCGGGGTTGCCTGGCCTACCCATCCCAATCTTCTACTTTAACAAAGGAGAGTGTGTATGTGTGTGCACAGGTGTGGGAACAAAAGAGCTGGCAGCAGGCAGACATACAGTGTAGAGCTCACAGTGGACATAAAGGGTGATCCCAATGCTATCTCTGCGTGTGAGTGTCCAGCTCTTGCCTTATGAGGATTCCTTTGTTCGCTTTTACCTCACAGCTCAATCATCAGCACTGTAACAGCGAAAAAACTCCCAGCTGTCGACAGAAGACAAGGCTATCTGTAATCCTCCACCAGAGCACTATTTGCGTTTCCTTCTGAGAAGTACATGGTGCTCCTGACACATTATCTTAACATTTGGTTGTAGCTGAATCCACTTATTTGCTGAAAATGTCATAACTAATTAAACGTTGACTGAATGGCAGCTATGGCACAAGATACTCTCTAGGTTTCTGTGTCCTTTTACTTGCAGCCTTGGAAACGTAAGAGCTGTATTTGTATCCCACAATTCCCTGCATCAATAGATGACTCACTGCATGCCCCGGGTGACATTTAAAGTCAGGCCAGTGGCTTTTTTTTAATATTAATACTTGAGATTGATCAGTGCATGTATTGTTTTAAAGTGAAAGGGAAACACAATAGACTATTGCTTTAGCCCAGACTCTTTACATATCTCTTGTGTAATAAATATGCTGCCACATTCTCTGGAATAATGTCCAGAAGGACCTGAAATTGTCAGAGCTGGTTACTTTGGGGGGAAACTGAAGTCATTTCAAGGATGGAGAAAATAGCAGCCTCGGTCAGGGTGATTGCTCCTAAATTTGCAGTCAAACTGTTTTTGAGATTCGATGTGTTTCGCCCTTGATTTGTTTCACTATACATGAAATGGATATTGTGTCTGTGTAGTTTGATAGTTGTAACTAGGTTTGCTGCTGTCTTGGCCAGACCCTTCTTGAGATTTTACGTGATTAAAATGAAACAATCAAACAAGAAGAAAATATCTATATGTAAAATAGCATTAGGTACGTTTTGAATATGTTACAGAACGCTGATCAAATGCAATTCTCATTCACTCTCGTATTTCTTGTTTTCTTTGGCATAACAACTGTTGCAGAGCAGTTGTGTTTGCTGGAGCTTATGTAAACATGTCAGTGTAATCAACTTCTGAAAACATGACGTTCCCGCAGAGGAGGTCGAGAGCATCTATAAAGAGACAACGAGCATGACAGCAGATGAATTTTTGCTGCTTGTCCAGAAACCATTAAGCAGTATAGACTTGTCTTCTGAGAGGCTCTTATCAATGCCACTATGTCTGTTTTCTGCAAATAAACCTGTTTCACTTCTTCTGCCAATCACCCAAGAGTCGAGATGCATTCTGAAGACGTTAACACATCCTCTTACGTTTACTAAGACAATATATATTTTGTTTAATTCTGAGGAAATGGCTTTTTAAAAGCAAATTATTGCATCTGGACAAGAAATAGTCCAGCACATAACCCCAAAGTATACTTCTCATGAGTACACTTTGTTTTTGTGCAGATTGCACAAATGAGATGTTAATGAAATGCTAATTTGTGAAATTTAGAGTTGGTGGCTATTGGAATTGTGTTAATTTCAGAAAGCACAAGATCAGCTAAGCAAATAGGATGCTGGCTCTGGATTAAATTTAAATGTAAATGACACAAATAAGCTATTGAGCCTCTGATTTAACTTCCTGAAAACAAAGCAAACTCATTTTTTGGTGTAAATGTTGATACAAGTAGAGGAATTTCCATCAATGGCAGCTGAATTACTTATTGGATAAATTAGCATCTTGTTGCACAACAATGCAGTATAAAAGAAGTGATGGCTTTTATTTCACCTTATATTACACCTGTAAAGATATAGTTAAGGGGGAAACACTCTATTATAAGGTTCCTTTTACAGTGTTGCAGGTCTTTACTGGTAATGGGAAAGACTGTACTCACTGTAGAGGATCGTTCCTTGTCTGGATCGGGTTTTCACTGTCAAACAGAGAAAAACGGGGGTGTCCTTGACTCCTGCGGGTCGATTATTGCTGACACCAGAAGGCTGGAGAAGCAACGCAAGCGGCCGTAGCTCCAAGTAGGAAGTTCCATTGAATGAAGGGATATATACTGTGGCATCTGGAAACAAGCATTAGATGCAAATTGATGCTTTGAGCTTACATGGTGTAAGAGAATTAGAATTGTAATATTACTTGGACAAAAAAAAAAAACCCTCATACACACTTTATTGACCATTAGACAATATACTTATATATAAATGAAGAATGACATATCTTGTAAAAGCAATGCCCTACAGGGCTGTTGTTTGCAAACAGAAGAGCAAAAACTGGCTGCTGTGTGCCTTTGCAGCATAGACAGCCATCTGTGTGCAGAATCAGCAGGGCCTTGTCAGGGCTATGTGCTAGAGTGTCATTTCCCATTGGATGACAAAGTGATATGACTATAAGGAGAGGTGGAGGAGGTACACACTCAGGTCATCAACTTCGCAAGCCTGTGATGATATGTTGGCCTTTACACAAAGGACTTTGTACACCTGGTGGATAGCTTACTGCTCAGGTACATGACAGCCAATTCAAAATAGGCCACCTTGGCTTCAGCTCAGGGGATTCTAACAAAACAGTCCAGCTCTCAAGTTGAGAGCTCATAATATACAATACGTGTTGGGTACAAAAAAAATAGAGAGATATTTTTTTATTGCATGATATATGAGAATGTTCTTTCATGACTCCAGTGTTCACTTTTTTGCGTTTTGATGTTGGATCAAATGGATTTTTAAAGTAGGATGTGAATGATTGACAATATTTAGAACAGACTACAAAGTAAAAGAAATGGAATAAGAAGAATATGAAGTTGTAGCAGAGGAAATCTCTAGGGATGCCTATAATGGAGGCGATATTATAGACTAACTTTATGCTTATACAAGGTATGGTTAAAAAGTTCTCGAACTCCATCGATAAAAAGCCAAACCCCTGCTATGTTTATGAAAGTACAGTTCTGACCACTTGCAGTGATAAGAGGGGTTAGGTCTCTGGCTGCAATGCTACAGGGAAAGCAGAGGTTGGAGACCGTGACATGAACAGAATTACTACGACTGTGTGCAACGAGCTTGCGATCTCATCTCGTTTGACATGGTTGCTTTCAAGATGGGGACCAGAAATGTTACCACTCGCAGTCAGCTGCCATCTTCAAAACGATTATGATATGTTAAGAAAGCGATAAAATGGCAATAAGGCAGAGTACGTCTGCTGTTTGTGACTGAATGGAATCATGTTGGCAATTACGTGCAATCTGTTTGTGATAATACACGATTAACTGAAGTAAATTGGCAAATATCGTAAATCTTTTGCCATCTGTTGCAAATCTGCTGCCTTTAACATACACAAAAATTCATATTAACTACTGAAATTCAGAGTCCAGCCACATACTCACATATCTGAAACAAGAATGTAGAAATCGTTCCACAAACAGTAGTTGCTGATGAACAGTGATTTCATCAGTAAAGAGATACATGGCAGACAAGTTGAACTGAATCTAGTTGATTGCAGCATGTTGGAATCTGTCCATGTTTATGAAATATCATTTGCAAACCTTCCCCATTCTTTTTGGAGACAGTTTGCCTCCCACCGGGCAACCACTTGGTCACAGGACGCAAAAGTTAGCAAACCTTGATTTTTAGTTGTAGCAAGGAGATTGCCATTCTTACTTTACTCTAGTGTGACAGCACCAGAGGAGGTACAGGCCTTATGTTTTTATCTTTTATATGAAAAATTTGAGGATTTTTGACCAACCACAGATGTTATTCAAGTAATGTGCTTATAGACATGTATACCTTACCACAGCTCTGTGACACTACACGCTTATTTAAAATCAGGTTAAAGGTTAATCCGATATCTAATGTTTTCCTGCAGCAAACATTGTCTTTTATATGTGCTCAGCCTTACTCACATTATGCAGTATTGTTTCAAGGTTTTGAGAAAATGCATTCTCCTGTGGTCACATTTATGCAGCGTATTGTAGCCTGCTACTGGTTTGTGTAACTGGCTGCAGCTCTTTTTCAAAAATTACTGTTGGGCTGCTTGATTTGTGAGTCAGGAACTACTCTTGGACAGCTAATGCATTGTTAGTGGGTTCACTCATGGCAACAGGGATAACGCAATTCCTCTGTATCAGTCATTCGTGTCAACAGGGCATTCTGAAAATGGCCTTAATGAGCCTAGGAAAAGGATTCAAGTCGTACAGTAAGTGAAAATATCACCAAGGTGAATTGCAGGGTTTGACAATAAGGACTGTCCAGTGGCCCGGGGGCCCATGGGACACTGACTTGGTCCAGTTTAATGATTAGTCGCTAGACCAACACCAGAGATGAGTTTCCCGTCATATCATTTTTCACATAGTTATATTCCTTTTTTTTTTTTACTTTGCTTGGACTGAAGAGCCGCTCAGACACTTTCCTACCCTCGCTGATTTCCTGACCAACCAGAGCACACGAATCCTCCGAGTTGCACATAGAATTATGTGGAGCAGACATGACAGCCAATGCTTCAAATTACACAGAAAGAGAAAACAAAAATTGTGTTGCTTTTGTTGTGGAAGGCGTGGTTTCCTTGGGGGTGAAAATGATAAATCAATCCTATAATATCTGTTGGCAATTTCTGAGTAAGGAAGACTGAGCTGGCTCATTTTAAAAGGCACCAGCCATTACAGCAAACACACACTAGATGCCCACATAAAGAGCTGCCAGCACCTAGCCAGTGAGTTGGCAAAGCAGGAATCTGACAACCCCTTATCAGGTCCAATTAATGTCAAACACGAAACGGAAACAAAAGCAGGAAAGGTTCACCACAATGTCTTTTCATTTTTTTTAATGGTTTGTTATTTCTCCCAACTACATTTATAGACAAGGTTCCCACTTTCTGATAATATCATCTCCATGGTGGCACATTTGGCATTTTATAAGATGATTTTCTAACAAATATATTTGTTACTGTTATAAATAAAATCAGTATAATTAGCAAGATTGTTTGGACTGGATAAGGTCAAAGGAAAAGATCTAAAAAGATGCAGATAGATACATAAAAAGGCACTTTAGGGAAAAACAAAAATGAAATGAAAAAGCTTCTTGGACTGATGTTGTGGTTAAACAAAAGTAGTTAAGGACTCAATTGAAAAAAAACTCAACTTTCATTGTATTATTCATTTCTGGCCAACATCCAAAACCATGGCTTCAGATTCCCGAGAAGCAAAGACAGAACTCAATGAGCTAAAAGCAGGAGGTCATGATCAATACACACCAAGCCTGAATAATGGTTTCACCTTTTATATCTTCTTCTTTCAACCATTTACTCCATGATGGTGTGTGTGTGTATAATTTTTGTAGTGTCTTTTAAGTGATTTCTTGCATGCTTGATAGAAAGTCTTTGCTGAGGTCTACTACCTACTGTGCCTTCTCTGAAGAGACAATTTATCATACCTTAAAACTCTGATATACTCAGCTGGACTGCTTTTATCTTGACAAAACCATGTGATGGGTGGCTATGTAATATCGAACACTCACTGAACCAAAAACACTAGCCTGGATTATGGTACATCCTACCAGCGGAGCACTTCCAGGGCCAAACATAAGTGAATGCACTCAAGCTCCTTAAGTAGGAACTGCTCATATGATTCAGACTAAAGCTGACTCCGATGTTTTTGGTCATAGTCGTGATTATATAGCATTTTATCAATTTTGTGATAAAAGAGATGTGTGCTGGCTGCAAATGTAGAGCCACATTTCTTTGTTGACTGCTAACACGTGTAGTTGTGGTTGCAGTTCTAATGGAGCTGTGACCAAGTATACATATAGTACATACATAAATACAGTAAGTAAATGGTAAATGGCCTGTATTTATATAGTGCTTTACTAGTCCCTAAGGACCCCAAAGCGCTTTACACGTCCAGTCATCCACCCATTCACACACACATTCATTATAAAAAAAAAAGGCACTTATGATCTATTAAAAGTACCATAATTATTACAGAAAAATAATCATTTGGAAAATAATTTAAGGAATGAAAAGCAAAAGGGTGGATTATGAATGATAACAATATAGATTTTGGTTTCCTTCATTTCCTTATTTTTCTTCCTGCTCCTTTTCTTTTAGAGTAAAAAAGTATATTTCTGGAACACATTTAATGAACCATCCACTTACAAAACAGATGATGATCAGCATGGGGTGCCTTAAGAAAAATAAGTGTAATTTCAAACAGTATGTTTGTTTTTTCCCCCACACTGAATAAATCTATTGCCATTACAAAGAAAAGCTACTGTCTCAATTTACTGAGACAGAGCACTGGGACTCTTTAACTTCACTGTATTACTTCAGTCTTACATGGCTAAGTAGGCAAAAACTATGGCTCAGATGAAATTAGCCACTCTCGTGTCATGATTCATTCTTAACTGTTGGTAACACAATACTTCCTGGTTGTTGTTATTATTATTATTATTATTTTTGGATATGTGAAGTATGACATGTCAGCGTTTCATCTAGGACACAAACAAGTCCACATCATTAGTCACTATGCGGTATGACGTGTCTATAATTAACTGAGAGCAGGGGTGACTTGCTCCACTGTTCTCTTGTGCCCATTACTTAATTCAACAAGATGTGAAGACAAGGTTGTCACCTAGCAAAGATGCTGCAGCAATTCACATGCACAGACTTTGTCAGCATGTAAACAGCCCCGGGAGTCTGTCTGCGGGCGAAGAACTAGTCTTGCAAAGCACATCATACGATGAGTGCCCACATGAGACTGCGCTCTGTTAAACCTGAGAGACTAGACTGCTTTTGAGGAGGTGCAATTTCACAAACTCAGCAGAAATGACACCAAAAGGCCACTGCTGATATTTAAAGGAAAAGTTTATGACAAGTTGAGGAATAAGCAGGAACTCACTGCTTGAAAGGGAAAGGCTGAGGGCACAACCTGTGATCGTGAGACTGTATCATCAGCTCTAACATAACAGTGGATATATTTTATCATGGTGGGAATTTATTACATATAATATGTAACAATCATGTCATGTCATAATGCAAGCTTGATTTATCAGGGTTCATTTCCAATTACGGTACTGAAGTCAGCCTTAAGCTTGCTCATGTGCAGCAGCTACAAATGATGATATTTTGTGACACTTATTTTTTTTTCCTGAACTTGAAATGGTTGAAAGAACAAATGAGTCAATGAATGAATCATATTCTCTGATCTCTACAGGCTGTTTAGACGCTGGCCAAAGGATCTTTAATAACCGGCTTAACAAAGAAGCATCTCTGTCATGCGAGCAAAGGGGGGGCACCGCTTTCCTCGACATAGCGCTCTCCCACGGGAAAATTGAATCAGTGTGAAGCCTTAAAAATAGCATCACTTTTGTTACAGCGCCTGGAGAGAAACATAATATTTCAGTTGATTACTTAAACACCTGTAAATTAGCATTTTGAGAACACATGGCAGATGTGTCAAATCAGGGTGCCAGGTGCATACAGGCTGCTCCTGCCACATTAATGCCTGTTAATATTAGCTTTGAGCAGCGTTCTGTCAGGATTCCACATGTTTCATGAACATAAGATTATGCCATCTGATTTAGTCATTTACAAAGGTTGCAGAGGTGAACGCAAACCTAACACTGTTTTCGGAACAACTTTAGCACGAAGAAGAATGTAAATCTCTAAAAATTTTCTCTGCACGTATCACATTTAGTGGCTTCTGTTATCAAAAGATCCTAATTTAGTTAAAGCCCACACAGAGAGCATTCAAACTGTCAGAGAACTGAGTTTCTCAGAACAAGTAATATCTTCTCACATGGACACAAATAAGCAAAAATTGAAAACGATTCACAACTGATGGCTTAGATTACCTTTTGAAATTGTTTTTATTTTCATCCAGCAGAACATTGCTTTTGGTATTACTTACAACTAGGGTTGCCAACTGTCCCTTAAAAAACGGAATCGTCCCGTATTTAGAAACAAAAGTACACGTCCCGTATTGAGCTAATAAGGGACGCACTTTGTCCCGTAATACAGTGAGAATCAAAAGTAGTCTATAAATGTTAATGGAATTAACGCTTTGTTTGAAAACATAATTCCCAGCCCCTCTCCTGCTTTGTGATCAATGAGCTGACAGCACACTTATGACAATTTGAGTATGACAATTCAGATTACCGCTCATCTCATTGGTCGAGGAAAGGCCGCTTGCAGAGAAAATACCGGAAGACAACAGATGACCACAACAAGAAGCATGGCCAACACGGAAACAAACGCCGACACTGCGGTGCAAGTCTCGGACGACAGTACACCTAAAGCTGGACATACACTGTGCGATTTTTTCAGTCACGTTATTCAGCTCCTGCTCAAACTGCACGATTGACTCGCAGGGGTTAGAAGTTGGTAGGTCACGATGCAGGTCTCACACTATACCACCCGATGCTCTGATGCGACCTGAGTGCTCACACTGTGCCTCCATAAAATGAAGGTTATAACAGAAAATCTGTTGCTCACTCTCTCTCTCTCTCTCTCTCTCTCTCTGTCTTTCACTCACACAGACACACCACCACCATCAACTTTGCTAAATTGCTAATAAAAAACATTGATCAGGCAGCTGTGATTAAGCAGCAGTGTAAATCCAACTATTTTCACGGTTGCTGTGGTCGTGATAATTTTGTGATGCCACATCGAAAAGGCTCGGATGAGCTTTCCAAAGTTCTACAAGTTGTGCCTCCATCGCTTGTGTCCAGATCATCTTTTTCACCGACGTTTACGTGTTTGCGCGTGAGCAGTGTGAGCGGCTGTGGTGACACCCTCACGAGCGATTGATGATCGGGAGCTGGTCGTGAGGTGTTAATCGCTTCTCGTTACCCCACGTATACTACACGATGCACGATGAAGGCCAAAATCGGGCCGATCACCAATTCGGTCGCACGACTCAAAAATCGTCTCAAAATGGGCCAAAAATCGCACAGTGTGAGCCCAGCATTAGAGCAGCAATGTTTGTTCCCCTCAGAGAAAGAAAAAAAGGCTGCAAGTACAGGGAGGAATGGGAAAAGGAAAACACCTGGCTGGAAAAGTGCACGATAACACCTATAAAGCGCACTGCACTGTGTGCCGGCGCATGCTTCTAGTGGTGGGCACATGAAGAACATGAGGGGCGTGAAAGCTCGGGGAACCCTTAACCAATTTTTTGTCCACCAGGCCACGGCAGAAGCAGATATGGTATGTAAACACTGGTTTGTTTTTAAACCCTCTGGTTAAGGTTAATATGGGCATGTGCAGTGAATATCAGCGCTATGTGGCCAGAAGTGTGATAATATAATTTATTTTGTGTAATAAACAACTGCAAGGATAGATGATTACAACAAATAGATGACTAATACATAAAAGTAATACATAGATGAATAATGATGATGAGTTATGATGCGTAATCATGGGAACAAGCGGGTTTACAAACAGGAGCAGCTGATTAGCATTAGAAAAGCTGAAATAATACCTCAACTGAAGCCAATTGTACTAAATGCACTATATGTGCACTGTTACAAGAATTTTTGTTCTATTGCTTTTCTATTAATTTATATAATTTTAAGTTAAGCAGGACAGAGTTCTTTTAAAGAAAGATTTACTTATATTCTCAAAAGTTAAGCATGACAGGCTTCTGTTTAAGAAAGAGACCTGTTTTACTGTGTTAATGTTGTCATTTTGAGCTAAAAATAAATGGCTAAATGATCATTTGTTTCCCATATGGTCATATCACAAAGAATATGCATCTGCTTAAATCAAATTCAAGTCAAATGGTTAAAAAATAATTTCACACACAAAAAAAAGAGCTACCACACTGGGAAGGGTGAAGACAACTGGGTTGCCCGGCCCTGGCCACGAGGTGTCCCTTATTTATTTTTCAGGGAGTTGGCAACCCTACTCACAACTGAATGTTGACTGTGTCCTCTCCCTTTCCCTGTCTAGCCACCTGTTCTTGCACATGGCACCTGCAGCTCAAACAATAAGAGTGGCAGGTTTAACACTCAAAATTTATCTGTTGTTATTTTTAAAACAAGAGATTAGGCAGAAATGGACAAAGAAAGGCTTCAGTTTTCTTTTTGTTTATCACTGTGATTTTACATAAGGAAATAATAGGCTTTACAGGAAGATTCTTATCGACTGTTGTTAGCTAACTAAGCTACTGTTAGCACTGTAGTTGCTAGTTCCCATATCATGATTTGACATTTCACCCACAAATTTTAAAACATCTTCTATCATCAATAAATAGTAAAGAAAGTTTTCAGGTAACATATTTAACTACTACTCTTTATTTATTTTTTAATAGAACTTTTATGTTTGCCTGCTTTGTTTTCCACTAATATCTTAGAGTGGATGGGACTAATTGATAAGGGGATGCAGTGATTTACGGCTTAAAACGAATGTGCAACAGGTTCCACCTATTTCAGGCAACGATGTTGGAGCCCCACAAATTACTAGTCATATGCTCTCTTGCCTCAAAATAAACATTGTTTTTCTACTATAGGTAGAAATCATCCAAGGAACCAGCACTCCTTATACTTATGCTCCTGTTTTCTTGGTTCTGAAAGGACAGCCACTGATAGAAAGAGGCTAAATTGATACCATTTGATTTCCAGTCCTCATTACGTTAACTTTAATTGCCCACCATATTGTAACAAGAAACAGGTCAAACATACCACAGTTAATTTAACAAATGTAATTAGCCATCAACATGTTTAATTCATATTAGAAGTACAATACTCTTTTAATCCGTGTTGAAATGTTAATCATATATTGTAGCTGCACTGCACACTGCTATCACAACACAGAATTTGAGATTTCTCTCAGCAGCTTGGCTTGCGTTATCAAGTACACAAACTATTAACTCACACATTCTAGTGTTACTTCTGTTATCCCTGACAGGAACTGACTACAATGGCAAAATACAGGAAGCATTTATTTATTTATTATTTTACACTTTCAGGATATCATGCATGGCAACAGAGGGATGTCAGGAGGTACATCAAGAGAACTGTGAAGGAATCTGCAAAGGAACAGCTCCTTGGTATGTGCGTGTAGTACTACCGTCTCCCTAGTATTAGTCTCGGAGTGTTTGGTACAAAATAAATATTTTTTGGTTGGGACAGACGTGAACGCTTCAGCTGAATGTTGAACAAGTGCTGCAAGGTCACATTCTCATTCTCAGCGTGTTCTAGGGGTGAACTTAGAAGCACACCAATGGTTTGAGCTGCTTATATAGATCTTTCATTTCATTAATCATATACTGAATAATTCACATCACTCAAAATTCCTAATGCAACCGACTATTCTCCCTCATAGTGAAACCTATTAGCCAAAGAGGCTCAGCATATATTAACCAACATAATTTGTTGGCTGTCTCTTGATGATTCCACTGTAGAGGTCACAGTACAGTAGGTTTTTAAGCTTTGTACAGCCTGTGTGTGGTCTATGTATTGTGTATATGAATGTAGCGTAAACACCACCAGGTGAATGCAAAAGCCTACCTTTTTCACAAAACGTTCCAGTGAAATGAAGCGGACAGTGACAAGAAAGCTGAGCTTCACCAGGCGGCTGCAGCTGAAGGCACGTCCCTCCGTTGTGGCAAAGACTGTCGCGGCAAACTTGAGGTTCGTTCATTGGATGTTCTGGCGCTTGTGTGGGAACTGCAAACGTTGTTGCAAACACTATGTCAAAGGTAGGTGATTGAGCTTCCAGACTTGAGGAACTTGTTGTGGAGGCTTGTATGGCATGCACAGTGAATCTGGAAGATTGATCAAAAGTTTGAGTGGCCAAAAGCCAATCTGACATAAATTATACAGGCTTTAAAAAATTCTGATTTGAATTAAGTGAAATTACTCAGTAAATAAGAGGCGCAGTCATTTAACAAATAGACATATTTTTGACTGCAATCCCAGAAAGAAGTAGAGAATTCAAGTATTATTTGTCATGATTACTAGTCAGTTTCCCCCTGGCTTCGGACAAAGTGTAATGCACCTTGGAAAAGTGAGTACAGTGTTTTTAGCAATAAAAACCAAAAAATGCAGAGACTTTACCTGCATCGAGCTATGTTGCTGCCAGCAATCGCATCCGATGTGTAGAAGCTCCTCAGTTTATTAATTTCAATGACTTCAAGACAACCAGTGTAGTTGTGGAAAGGTTCTGCTTTCTTAAAAAATATATCACATGCAGAGAATTAATTTTACTCAGAATCTTTAACAAGCAGTAAGTTAAAAAAAACAAACAAACAAACAAAAAAAAAATTGTTATGTGGGATCAGGCCCTGGAGCCTTGCCTCACCTCACTGAGGACCTTGGTATGGTCATGGAACAAGACTTTTGAAAAACTGTCAGACTCCCAGAAAGGAGAAGCAGAGCTCTGCTCACATTATATGCAATGAATGCTACTGACCCAGTTAGGCAGTGGAAGGAATATATTGAGGATCTCCCTAACTCCACTGACATGTCTGTGAAGGAAGCAGGGACTTAGGAACGGCTTGGCCATTACTGAGGCAGAAGTCAGAGTTGTTTTGGTTGGCATGCCCCCGCAGCATTGCATGGAAGTCAGGGACAGTGCATCTGGATTGGGAAACTAGAGATTTTGGTACCCGTTTTCCAAGAATAAGAACCAGAGGGTATGCTCCAACTTCAGGGAGATCCCACACCTCAGCTTCCCTGTTAAAGTCTATGGAAGAGTAATGAGAAGAGAGTCCACCTGTTAGTCAAACCTCAGGTTTGACCAAGTTGTGAGACAGTAGACCAGCTCTTGACCTTCCCAAGAACACTTAAGGGTGCACAGGAGCTTTCCTAACCACTCTAAATGTGCTTTGCAGACTTAGAAATGGTATATGACCATATCCCTTAGCTCTGGGAGTGTAATTCATCTGACTCATTGTTGTGGGCTATTCTGTCCCAGTAAACGATAGTGAGAGCTTCCTCCCTAATATGTCTGGGCTTATCCTTAGAGACAGGGTAAAGGGCCTGGCCATTCAGAAGGGATTCAGAATATAGCAGTTACATTTCTACATTATAACAAGCTAGTTGAGGTGGTTCAGGCATCAGACTAGGATGTCTCCTGTGCACCTGCTAAGTGGAGTTTTTCAGGCAGGTCTCAACAGGAAGAGACCCTGGGGCAGACCCAGGACATTAGAGAAATTATATCTCTCACTGGGTCTCAGTTTCCCCCTGAAGTGCTGGAAGAAGTGGCCATGGAGAGTGGCCTGGACTTCTCTGTTTTGACTGCTGCCCTCATGACCCAGACCCATGTGTGGATAGGTGTATAGTAATTATAAGTTGTACCTGACTGGGAACAAACTGTTGTGGCAACCCCCCTGTGAAGACATTGTTCGTTCTTTGGATCATGTGTCCCAACCAGTAATTGCTTGCAGTACTTTTAATTTTCTCATGGCCAGAAAGAGTGAGCTCTGCTTCACAAGGTGCCAGGCGTTGTCTGTAGAACAGTATGAACACATCAGATCAAAATGTATAAGAAACAGAGGTACACTACGTGTTAAAAAATGTGTTTTGTATTAATGTTGTAAACAAATCAAACATTGTGCATTATCTGTATAGAAGTTAGATGTTATTTTCTTGTATGCTGTGGTACTATGGTAGATAATTAGCATATCTTCCACTAATTTCAGTTAATGCCAATGGTAAAAATCTTCTCACTAATGACATTTTGAACTCCATTTTGTTTTTGTCGAGGTGTCCTATGTAAGTGCGAGTCTCCACACAACTATTTTGGATCCACCCCACAGCCATTCATAGATTTCAAAAACCAATTCTCCACTCTGCAACAACAGGGGAGAGCAGATAATTACCTAAGTGCAGATTCTGGACTAACCAACTGCAGCTTGAGGGTACTCAGGCCACAGATGCACAGTCCCCTCTACTGCGTCTCCTGATACTCCTTGTTCCCTAAGTGGAAGTTAGAAGGCCCACGAAGCAATCTAGTCTGATTTGTTAAGCCTGTACTTTGCAGGCTGTTGCATATGCCGGCTAAACACTCGGGGCACTAACTCCGAGCTGCATAAGTCCTTCCTCCAGAGCCAGCATGGAGAAGCGGTTAATTTAGAAGCAGTCTGCCAGAGCGGCCTGGCCAGCAGCCAGAGGGCACGGTGTTCACTGTCCTTGAGAAGTCAGCCCCACTGGGTTTCTATTTAACATATTGAAAAGCGTCTTTGACGGGAAGATATATTAAAAGTCTATAATGAGTTAGGCGGTGACGTTGAGGATGGCCGTGGTGGTGTAGCTGTGGGTCAAATCAGACAAAGATGGACGGACTCAGCCATCAGACAATTACAGAGAATTTGCTTTGTGACACCAGAAACTATTTTTCCACACTCCCAACCCTCTAGTTATGACAGCTCTCTTTCTTGCAGTGTCTCAAGGGGTTGGTACCGAACATTATGATTGATTTCTACTGCTGCTGTATTTTTCTTGTAGGAAAGAAAGAAGGGTGGAGCCCTGTAGCCTCTCAAACCTGACTGGTCTCTTTTATATTTAGAGCAGTGCTGCTTTCTGCCAACCCCCCGCCAAAAAAAAAAAAAACATGAGGCAACTTTCCCACTCAGCATTGTTCTAGCAGGAAATCATTTGGTAAACCATACTCTGTCACATTCAGTATTTCAACTTTTATCTGTTTGCATCTCAAAAAAAAAAAAAAAAAGTCATAATCACCAACCCAAAATTAATTTCTGTCTCTGTCTTACAATCTGAAACTTTTTTTATAAGTCAGAAATGCTCAAAAGTCATTGTAGTCTCTACTCAAATGCACAGCAAAGTGGTTTGATATGAGATGCTCTCTCCTTTGTTTCAGCTTCCAGTTCATACATAATAAACTCTGTGTCTTGAAGCTAGACCACAATCTTTCTTATGTCAGAATATAATGGAAAGGGCTGGCAGCAAGACTGCACATGGGCTTAGAAACAATATAACTAAAGGGGCCACAGCCTCACTTTAAATCATTTAAACATTGATTTTGTGCTCGGCTCTTGCTTGTTAATCTTTTCGTAATGAAAAACTGCAAATGAAGACTTTAGAACAGCCAATAAAACACGGCTAGTGATCACTAATGCATTTTAATAGGCACATTCTGATGCTTGTTTTAGTTCTTCAAAATGAAAGCCCATTTGTAATAAAATCTAAATTCTTAGTCTGGTGATTCCTGCCAATTACGTATTTTCCCCCTGTTTTAGTTATAACCTTTCTCTCTCTCAAAAAAAAAAAAAAAAAAAAGAGGAAAAAATCCACCACACTTGGAATGACTGAATAACTAGGTATCAAGCTAATACCACCTGAGGTGCTCACACAATTCAAAGAAAAATTGTATATTACCAGGCCCTAATTAGCTTCTCATTGTAATTGCACTCCTTTTCTCAACAGGGGATGCACTTATGCATGAAACAGAGACATATTAAAATGCATCTAGGTTGATGTCTATGTAAATGCACCCTGTCAATTAAAATATATAACATTAAATTGCAACATAATGACATCTTTAGAAACAAAAATACATACAACTGAACAACATTAAAATGAGCTGACTGAACATAACATCTAACAGCAGTGCGTTTACAGCCTGTTCTGGTTTATGTGTTTCTTTTCACCATGCATGCAGTACGGCTCTTGAATCTTGAGCCACTCTATTCAGGTCCAACAATTAATAAGAATATTGAAACATGCACACATTTACAGAAATGCAATATACAAGGCAAAAAGACTTTTGTATAATTCTAACGAACTTGAAAATCAGTATTTCATATAACCAGTTTTATTCTACAACACAGCCTGAACTCTCCTTTAATTCCTGTAAGTAGTTCTCAGGAATAAATCACCAGATGTCTTGAAGGACATTTAAAGCACTTCTTTGGATGCTAGCTGCCTTTTATTCTGTTCTCTGTCAGGATGGACAGAATAATTCATTAATGTTAATGTCCAGGCTCTGGGGAGGCCAATCCATGACTGATAGTGTTCCACTGTATTTTGTATTATCTGGTATAGTTTTACTACATTGGCCACGTGTTTGGGGACATTGCTATTAGGGGTGCAACGATACACAAAATTCACGGTTCGGTTCGGTTCGATACTTTGGTGTCACGGTTCAATATTTTTTCGATACAAAAAAAATGTTCATGCCTTTTTAATTTGTCATTTATTAAAATTATAAATATATATTTTAACTCAAAAGTACAGTTTTTAAATTTAATGTCGCTGAAACAAAAGTAATTAAAAAAATAAATATATCTCAGGGCTCTCAAAATTTCAAAATCCCTGGTAGCCCTTCGGGCAGGGACTCTTCAGTTTTTGGTAGCCCAAAAATAAATGTAAGTAGCCCGAATAAAAAAAGAGAGTAATTTTTTGATTGATGTTTTGTTTCCTTTACAATATTATACATTAAAGTTTAATATTGTAAAGGAAACAAAACATTAATCAAAAAATTGTTGAAAAACAAATTACAACATTGTATAAAAATTACAATCATCAACTCAAATACTTGGTTCTAA